CTGGTACAGAGACCTTGGCAAGGATTATACCACATTCATATCAGCTCTGGAGTAAGTTAATATTTTTAAATGTTTAGTCTACCAAAACTTTGGTCCATATTCCTTAAAGCAGGCAAGATGACCAACAGATAACTAGTGATCGCCATGAAATGGGGTAAATTCTTGGGTCACAGTAGCAGGTGCAGAGTTAGGGTTATTATATTGTGTAAGTATTCAAATAGTTTTTATCTGGTTTGCTTATAATAATAGTTGATAACATAGACAAAAGCTTACAGTAAGTTTACATCAAATTGTGCTTGGTTTATTATGGATTAAACAGTTTTAGAATTATTATACATAATGTGGTTTAGGTTTTTTTCATTTTAAAAATTTATTCTGCAATTTTTGCAGAATAAATGTGATAGTTTTTCATGACAACCTTACAAATCACAGACACATCTTCAAACTATTTATTCAGTTATTTATCATTTTCTATAATATTTCAGAGACGATATGTGGGAGCTGATTACCAACTTGGTTATAAGGTTACAGAAAGTGGATATGGTAAGTTTCAGTAAGTTTTGGCCAATCGTAGAGCCTCACCTCCAAGATGAAGGCGAAGAACCACGTTTGTTGGCAAATTATTGCTAGGCCCTCACAAAAAAGACCTTAAACTAAACATACATTATAGGCTGTATTAGTAGCAACTGTATGTTAACTGAACCATAAAGGCTTGTGGGTCTCTGGATCAATTTCACTGCTATCCTTGTTTTTCAGCTTGACTAATTAACTTGCAATTAACCATTTATTCCTGTAACCATGTTTATGGGAAAGGGTGTTTCCAAGAATAGGGAAGAAACAATGGCATTTTATGGAGTATCGTACCAGTGACCAATCAAAGTATGTTATTCAATAGGCGTGGCCAGAATACATGCATTTCTTAGAAGTACGCATGTTTATGTTTACGACCGCACACTCGGCCATGTTTCTCCACAAGTGGCTGTAATTTTGTGGGACCTTAGTAACGGTATCCAAGGGGGGGGGGGGGGGGGAGCTTAGTGGAACAGTCCATTTTCTCAAGTGTGAGTAGTACAATGTCTGTTGGTACATATTCATACAGAGTTAGTATACAACAAAAGTATTGATCATACTAAGCTGATTTCATTCATCTAGGTGCGGTTCATGGCCCTGGATGTTACTGAAACATTATGTGATCACTTTAGGGAACTTCGGGAGACATCACCAAGGTAACTGTACACTTTAACAGCCAATCATAAGAATGGAAAGGCCAGTAGTTTTATATTTTTAACAAGCAAGTGATTAATATTTGGCTCACCCAAAATTATGCTTGTATGTGTTCCAACTTTCTATTAAAAAAAACGCACATTTTAAAAATTGTTATTACAGTACTGAAGGTGGAGGGAAACTACAAACTTTCCAGTTGCATCCCTGTTTAAAAAGCGATGTGGCGGAGACAGAATTCCTACGGGAAGCAACTGAAGTTTTACTTGTTCTATTGTTGCCGGAGAGGATAGCCAGCTCCGAGACCGCACGCCATGTCATACGTGAAATAGTGACATGTTCAGGTGAGTTAACCAGATGGTGTAAACTAAGGTGGATTCACTGGGTTTAATAAAATACAGGTAAATTAGGTTTACACATGCTAGTTATAACCAGATGTACTGAACTACAGGTAGGTAGGTAGAGCAGCTCAGTTGATATAACCTGGTTTATTGAAATTGGGTCAATATTGGAACAATATTTGAGATATCAGTCTCTAAAGTTTATGATTTTGGTTATTTCTCTAGCAAAAACCATCAGTAAGTTGTTAAAATTTTAGCTTTAATGTTGAAAATGAGGAAAATAACATCATAGCATGATATATAAATATATAAAAGTTAGTTTAGTGTAATAAAATAGATTTCAATGATTTTAACATGCCAGCATGTTTTGGCCATTATTTTACAGTATTATTATCATACAGTATTTAAAATGTTGTTTATTATCTAAAAACAACAAAATTCTACATATTGTAGGCCTAATCCTACCGCCCGTTTAAACGCAATCATGTTCGCATCGCGACTTCACTACGGACAAGTACACAGTACATGTGTGGAAAATCCCTGATAGATCATTCTGGGCATGCGCATGGACATGGACATGCATGGCAGTTTTGAAACAGCCTGTGATGATACGATCGTAACTTTTACGAAAGTGATATTTCCCATGCCAAAGATAACGATAAAACGAACGCTAAAACGAAATTTATTTGGCAATTTTCTTTTCTAAAACATATGTATTATACTACGCTATTAAATTAATACAACTACGGTACGACCATTCTTTCACCAGCAATATATTGATTTAATAGAGAAATTAACAAAATCACAATCTGTAGATGACGATGTAAGTAAGGTCGAGCGTTCGGAAAAATCATAGTTTATACTATAAACCTAGGTAGTAAAAAATTGCAGATTCTGCCGACCTTGGAGAATTTAAGGTCGGCAAATTTTTGCCGACCTAATTTTTTCCTAATTTCATGGGCTGAATAAATTATTCAAAATTGTCAATGTATTGAAATTTTAAGCAGTTTAATAGTTGTCATGACACCCATGAACTTTAACAAATCAGGTTTCTTATTTATAATTGATGCATATATTTATGAATTAATTATTAAAAATAGTCAATGATATATTATGTAGGGTATGTTCATTTGATGTTTGATTTATTTCCATTTTGTCATTGGCATTTCTTTCCCTGATATGCGGTCATTGCATTTCTTCACTTTTTTCTTTTCTAGTCTTTCATTTTTCAATGATTATTAAGATATAGATATTTGAATATAACATTTTCTAAATCATATCAAAGTAACAAAAAAGGAAGTTATTCCTCTCTAATTATAAAAATAATAATGAGAAAAATGAGAAAAATAATAATTAAAATCTTATAGTAATGATTAATTGATTGATTGACTAATAATTGATGATTTCTACATTTCTAGGTGTCACATTTTAATTGAAATTATGCAAGCAACCAACATTCAAAATATGAAGAAGGCAAAGGGATTAGAAGTAGGAACAAGTAAATCAAAGGGAATGGGTAAAGGAGAGCTGTTGAAGGCACGTAATCTGAAAAGGTACCTCAACCAGGTAAGTTTTAGATGGGTTCAAGGGGAGGAGGGACAAAGCACTTGGTCCCTACTCCTTATTATAATACACAATAATTTTCTAAAAGAAGACACCCAAAAACTAGCAAAATATAATATAATTTCTGGTTTTTAACTCATGAATGTAATGTGCTACTAAAATTCACAGAGAATTTGAGTAATATAACAGGCTATGGCATTTTGTGACTTTCTTCTTTTTTTAGGCACACAATACATGTGCCGAGGATTGCCAATAGCGAATATATCACTGTCCTACTTGTAGGTGACAATCCCTTACACAAGACAAACATACACACACGATGCTTTTACACAAACTAAATCTCAATATGAGATTTAGGGAGTGGAGTTGTTTTGGTCGTGAGAAAAATTCCTGCAACACTGACAGGAATTGAACCCAGGCCCCTAGGATTGGAAGGCAAGCATCTTAACCACCAAGCTATTCAACTCCGCTACATTCAACCACCAAGCTATTCAACTACACATTCAACCACACTCTTAACCAATTGCTAATACACGTTGCCACAACATTTTGATATGTTGTTACGCCACTATAATAAATATAAAAATATGATAAACATAATATAAACAAGTATATAATATAGATATAATAAATACTCTGTGCATTAATAATTGTTTTCCTTCTAGGAAAGTGTCGCTTTTTAAAAGCTTACTGTGAACGGCGTATCAGGCAAGTTGGGGGCCCCGAGTATCAGATGTATTTCCGCAACCGGGACGAGGAGGATGGCGTGGGACCAATGATGGTCATTTTACTGGAGGAGATATTCCAAGACAAACAAGCATTGGAATAATTCAACAAGTTTCTTCAGAAGGAAGGAAAGGATGACCTGTTGAAGTAGGTTTTTGGAACACATTTCATTCTATATTTATGTGAACACATTATTATCACAGGTGTCCCAAGTTTCCTGCGTATCATGAGAAGCTCCTGGAAGCACTTCATCAAACATGCAATTATGAAACATGTAGACTTGACAACTTGACCTTTGATGATTAGTGTCCAAAATTTACTACAAACATGTAAAATATAGTTACGAGCCATTATCGTTATTATATAAATTTGGTACAAATGTAAGTCGCTCCGGACCTCTTTGTTTTTCTTCCTTCCTATCTTTTTTTGTAGACTTCAATAAACAATAACATAATTGTAACATTAGTTACTTTTGCTACATTTAAATATTATTAAATATTATTATAAACTTAGATGATTATTCCCATAATATTTGTAATTTTAAATTTATACTTAAACAATTATAATTATTAACTCTAAATGTTAATTTACGTAGATTAGATCAATAAAAAATAGATGTAGTAGTCCATATCTATTCTTTAATAAGAATAACTTTTTTCTAACTTCTAATCAATTTTATATAGCCGGAGTTAGTATCGACCTAGGCAAACCTTGCTAAAAAGGTGCACTTTCTCCATCAAAATGCTTCTAATTCTAAGAATGGAATGACCTGTTTGAAGCACGAACTCCTGTAGACCAAGCCTAGTACCATTACGACTTTTATTGTACGAGAAATCCACTCATGATGCATTATTACGAAACGTAGGAGAGTAACTCATAACTCGCGGCTTAATTGCACATGGGCATGATTCATGACTAACTAGCAGCCGTAAAGAGTCGCTTATCGTAACATTACATCATTCCACGACAGGTGCTCAAATGAACCATAAAATCGGGTAACTCCATACTCTTCCGAAAGATGCAATGGGTTATTTAAAGTGCACACGAGTCAGATGTGTACACTGGACCTCCATTTCCAAGTCCTTTTCCGAGAAGACTTGGTTTAAAGAACCAAACTATTGGCGAGGAGCGGCTGGAACCACCGCCGATGTTAGGGCTGTAGTTAGCGGCGCCCCTGCCTTGATACTCGACTCATCTATAGGGGTCTGAAGTGTCCCGCAACCTGTGAAATTCAGACAGCCTCCTGCACTTACTCAACCAAGCAAACTTTTTTTTAAAACTAACCCAGCTCCCAAAAACTAATGATGTTTGCATGTTTTTACTGCTGTATTATTCTGAATACAGCTTGCAATAGGTATCACAAAGTGCAGTGAGGTATAATTGGATGTGTTTCGTAAGCTCATTTAACCAATCTTTCAGAAGTGCCCTCTTTCAATTTGTGCCCCCTGTTATCATGGTGGTGGTGGTGGTGGCAGGTGCTGATTACGGTGGTGGTGGTGTTTGTGGTCATCAGTGGTGTCAGTCATTTGTGATGGTTGATGTGGTGGGGAAGTAGAAGTCATTCAATTAAATCAGATTATGAAAATTATTACTTCGATTACATTAATGTGAATTAAAGTTGCACATGGAACTATACTAGTTTAAGTTATAGCTCGCACTACGTTGGGGTCATTGGGGTCATGGTGCACAAATGGTCACCCTTGCTCAAATATTATTAAGGTGATAGAGATAGGACGATTGTCGCTTATAACAAATGGATAATAAATGGTATAAAGTCAACTTTCAATTATTGTACACCATTTTTTCATAAATAATATGATGAAATATAATTTAGATCAGTTACAGTACCTTAAAAGGTGTCTTCATGACACATTCGACGCTGTCAATTACCAATTCAATGATTGCCAAGTGTTAATGTGTGTTGGTGTATTCATGTGACAAGTGGCCGATTGTATTCGTAATCTCTGTTTAATTATGATTATAATATTTCTGTTTTATATGTATTTTTCTACTGTACTAATCAAGAGTGGTACATAAATGCAGCCATTCCCAAACCAATAAGATCGTTAAAAAAAAATATGTTGGTATGTAGGATTGTATTCAGCGATGCCACGTGATCTTCTGCTTGTGGTTGGTGAGGAAATCATTGAAAGTCCAATGGCATGGAGATGTCTTTTCTTTGAGTATCGTGCATACCGCCGTTTGATGAAAGAATATTTCAGAGAGGGCGTCAAGTGGACAACAGCACCTAAACCACAAATGAGCGATGAGCTTTATGACATGGTAGGTACTATACTATGATGTTATGCATTAGGTTTTACAGTAGATGTTTCTATAAAGAGCCTTTCAATTTAACATTTTCTTCTAATAAAAATTGTTAAATGTGGCGTGGTGTTGCAGTTTCACTGTTACCAATGAGGCATTATGTACTTACACTGCACATGTGACCAGTGGTGGCGCCAGAAATTTGCTGTCAAGGGATCCGACATGTTCGACGGAGGGGTCCAAGCAGGGGCGACAAAACCTCAGTCGACAGCCGGAATAGAAACTCTCTTGTAGGGTTCATGGTGAGAGCTTTTATGGCTTAGTATGGTCCAAAATGTGCTTTTAGACCACAATATTAGGGATTGGCATTCAAAATAATGTCGTTTGAATAGGCAAACGCGTGCGTCGGACGATAGGGGATTTAGGCCTGTCTGACGGTGGAAAATTCTCCCTGTCCCTGCTCACTCCACCACTGCTTAGGACAAGGATGTCAAGTGACAAGTGGCAGAAACAAATTTTGTTTATGGAATCAGATGTACCACCAACAATTGGAAAAATAATCATAAAAATCATAGAGATGATATGGAAAAAGCACAAGTTCTATCAGTAATGCAGGATCGTTAGGCAAAAAGGTAAAAGAGAAAGCGAAACTGCCCAAAGAAGCAGACTTTTGGGGTATAAAATGATGGTGATAATCTGTCTATACTGAGGAATTTCTTCAAGGTCTTTCCAACTTTACATGGTTCTCTTTATTTCTTTCTGTGCAAAGAGTTCTTGGTACTTGTCTAAATGTCTCTTTCACTTTTCCTGGAAATATGCTTTGCTAGAGTTTTCCGATCGGCTCATCCAGCTCCATTTTCTTTAGTTCTTTTGAATGACAATTTTTTACAAAATGTACTTTCTGATCACCAAAATGGTGTTTACACTCATATGCGAAGACAGACTTCACACACTGGACTTAAAAGTGGATTGTGTCGTTATTGTTGCATGGCCAACACAACAACTAACAAGCGTAAATCAATGGTAATCTTGATCAGAGTTTAAAGTCGGTTATGAATTGTAATATTTAATTATTGAACCTTTTATAGGGTTATATTGAATCCCATGAGAGACTAGAATTGCCAGCTAGAGGTCAATTTGTGACGACAGAATTTGAACCTTGCTTCGACGCTACTGATTTTCAACGTGCTGGAAAGGACATTTTTTGCCAGTTAAGTCACGTGAGTTCTATATTGTTTTACTGTTATAGGTCTGTAATAAATCATTTTCAATAAAAAATTTTTTTACTGAGGATACCAATCTTGTTATTTACAATCTCAGACGACAAACCGAATGGGTGTTGAGTGGCTTCGACGTCAAATTGGTGATGACTATACAATCCACATTGTACAATGTGTGGATGATGCTCCGATGCATATAGATGCGTCCCTGTGCTTATTGAGACCTGGTCTGGTTTTAGTCAACCCAGAAAGACCTTGCTATCAGATAGAGCTGTTCTCAAAAGCTGGGTGGGATGTCGTTGAGGCACCTCGTCCAATAACACCAAGCGGTAAGTCGCACTAAAATATTAAAAGATATATCAAATGAATATAATGATGAATTATATCAGAATATGCCTTGGAAAGACTTTTAGAAGCCAGTCATATTGTTATTGGTTTTTACATTTTGAAATTGTTGATCTTTTTATCTTGTCTTACTTTCAAATTGTAAATAATCCTTTTTCAATTTTAACAAAGTGTCCTCTTTTAAAAAAAATTATTGCTGTTCTTCCTTTTAGCAATTGAATGTTTCGTTTGCAGGATTCCAATGGAAATACGTTTCTTTGAAACCTTTTTGGGCTATTCCTTGCTTTCAGAGTTTTTAATTGTATTTGCTTCTCCTTGTCTTCTCTTCATTGTTTTTGTATTTTACTCTGATTGCTGAATAAATTCAAAATCAAATCAAACTGCTCTTGTAACTTTCATAATGATTTTGAGAATTTGAAGAAGAAACTTGAGAAGAAGTGATATTATGATTGTATTATGATTGTTGTTGTGGTTATGACAGTGGCTGTGATTGTCACTGTGATTTTGATTTGACTGTGCTGTGTCTTTTGCTGTTGCTGTCTTTTTTTCGTTGCCATCCTTGTTGCAGTGAACGTCATTGCTACATTATCATAATATTTTCTATTGTCAGTACAGTAGGCCTACAGTGTCAGCTCCATCATTATCTGTTTCAGTCAATAAAACGAACACAAATTTCAGTGTAATTTATACAATTATATTTCTATAAGACTTTCTTCTGTGCACCTTTTACAGATCACCCGATGTGGTTTTCTTCAACATGGCTGTCAATGAATGTTCCGATGTTGGACCATAACCGGGTGGTTGTAGATGCAAACAAGATTCCTACTCAAAGACTTTTCGAGAAACTTGGTATGGAATGCATCAAGGTTGATTTGCGTTTCGCTGGTTCTCTAGGAGGTGGCAGTCATTGCTGGACTTGTGACGTCAGACGAAACGGTTCTTTAGAATCATATTTCTAAAATCTTCACTATATTTATTCTGTTGTATTTTATTTAATACTTTGAGAATATAATATGAAATAAATAATATATAGAATGGTTGACCTCTGGTAATTTTGTATTTAACATTTGTTCATATTTGTGAACTTACTTACATTACACACACTTTATCACAAATAATAAACAGGACTACATATTTTGTTTTAACTATTAAAAATATTTGCACACACAAAAGTAAACAAATAAATATTACAAGTTAGTTACTTGTTCTATTTGTTTATTACATATTATTGTGTATTACTTACGTGTTTGCTTATTAATTATTATTGTTACTTAATTTCATATATATTTTATTCGGATAAGTATTATACCAAATAAAACAAACAATTTGCCAACAAAAATTTTCTGTATTTATTAGAACTGTAGCAATTATAGTAACCATAATAATATAGATACTATATTTTATTTTTTTATATGTCATTACTTTTATATTCTTTGTAAAAAAAAACAAAAAAAAAAAAAACAAAAAAAAACAAACTATTATTTCCACAGGGCTGATGGTGTTCACAATTCATTTGGCTATTTTTAATATTTGTAGCTTTAGATCCATTGTTTGGTATTTGTTTGCCTTTTTGAAACAGTTTTAAAACTTTTAGTAGGAATGTTCAAGTATATCATTCCAACTTTCTGTGTTTACTGCCGATAGACGATTAGGAGCATTAGAGTGAGAGCTGATGTTAGCATGTGTTCTCTTGGTCCCCGGTTCAATTTCTACGATAGCTCATAAGGGACACACTGGAAACAAAATGAAATGCTGCAAACAAAAACGCAAAAAAAAAACAAAAAACAAAAAAGAAACGCTGCAAACAAAAACAAAAATCACCAGCAAACCAAAAATAAAACGCTGCAAACAAAAGCCATTTAGTCTGATGTACATTTTTTAAAGCTTCGTGATGGTGTGCTGAGAAGTTTCAGGCATTAATCCTGCACCCTGGTTCAGCCCATGTATAAATTTATTTTATTTTATTTTATTTTTACAAATAAGTACTTTAAATGGAATATATAATTGAAAGTATTTCTTAACACAGGATAAACTGAACACGTCTATTTTTCGGGAGGGTGCAGGCAACCCCTTTCCAACTTCCTATCGTCGAATTCCCACGCTAGCACGTCTCACTTTGTTCTGGTGCTCCAAGTTTACACATTCCTGGTTCCGCTCAGGGACGTAGCCAGGATTTTGAAAGGGGGGAGCCGTTATATGAATTACGTATGACCCGCCGGGGTCAAGGGGGCGAATCTCCTTGTGAAGTAGTGCACTCTGAGCGTTCTTAGGACTGTTTGAGAGGATATAGTGAAAATTGCAATAGACGCATAATAAATAAGCGCAAAAATAATTATATAATAAATCAACAGTGGCAGATCCAGGAATTCGAAAGAGAGGTGAACCAGGGAGGGACATTCACAGACTCTACTCACCTCAGCCCCACCATGGTTGGGACTGAGGTAAGAAAATTTATGATTAGGGCATCTCTAGACGGCCGGAAATTACACTCTCGCACTTCAATTTGAATATATTTTTCTTTTTTTCCCCTTAAAAAATGAAGTGGGGGGGGGGCTTTGAATCCATCTCTGCTAGCTCAAAACATTCTTTATCCAGAATAGTCATAATCACTAAAAATGGACATGAAAAACCAGATCACATCCTAAAAACAAACAGCAGTCACTAAGACTTAAGGTCATACCCAGGGAAGGGCACAGATCTATTTTGAAAGGTGGAGGGGGAGGGCATTTTGTGAGTCGACACCCACCTCAGCCCCACCATGGCTGGGGCTGAGGTGAGAAAATTTGAGGAAATACTACCTCTCGAGATGGCCGGAAATGACACTTTTATATAGTAAAATTCATCATCATAACATCACAATTATAGTCAAAATGAAACGCCAACAAATTTGTCATGATCTTTTATCAGGGATCTACTTAATATCCAGGACAACTTAGGCTTAACTATAGCTTACTAAGCTTTAACTATATATACTATATTATGATCAACAAATCATAACTTTTTTTTCGCATTTAGCACAATTTTCTTCACTTTTTATTGCTACTAATATTATTATCAATTATTACTATCGTCATCATCATCATCATCATTCTTATTATCATTATTACTATTAGAAGTAGTATTATTTAAAAAAAAAAATTAAAGAAACTTGGAAAAGGATAAAAACGAATTTTAACCACAGTATCGCATTTCTATCTTAAAAGACCTGGCCTGAGATTTATGGATTTAAGATTTTTTTAATCACGCTTAGGCCTATGTGTTCTATTAGGCCTATGTATATCGTGTACTGATGCATATTTACATGTTTAGAAGTATTCATTTTAAGTGATCCCAAAAAAGAATTTGTATTGGCTTAAGAATAAGCTTTAAAATTTTAACACTATGTACAAAGGGGGGGGGAGCCGCGGCTCCCACGGCTCCTCCCCCCCCCCCTGGATACGTCCCTGGTTCCGCTCCTCTATGAATTAATCAGATACGTTCATAGAATGAATGCTCATAGAATTACATTTATAAAATTATGAATAATAATAATACATACTCCAAGAAATGAAATGTACACTGTCGTGATTGTTTTCAATATTTCGACTGTTTATTGGGTGATCATCTGAAATAAGAATTCAATGCAGAATTACTAGAAATTAAACAAGTCTATATTTTTTTAATGATTTTTAAAATATCTTTAAAATTTGACCAGCTATCACATAAAAAAATCTCTAATTTTGACTGGTTTACGAATAAATCTAGTCTGAATACAATACAATATAATTAGGGTATAGGTGCTTTCTGTGATGATCAAGTATCGTCTCTAGAAAAAACGTGGGCCAAGGCTTATTCTTCACTGCGGGCCAAGAATACAAGAAAGAAACAATAAGTCTTGTCATTATAGTGCATCTTTCTGTACATGTTGCCTTACTCTCAGGCGCGGATCCAGAAATGTCCAAAAAGGGTGGGGTGGGGCGAAAGTGGGGCCGATCGAGATAACACTAGCCAAGGGGATCCAGGGGCATGCCCCGCAAAATTGTTTGTTTTCTAAACACCCGTAAATAACCTCTGAGGTGTTTTGGGCAATAAATTATTTCTCTGTCTTTCTTTCTCTTTTTTTAAAATTGTATTTTGACTTTGCAAAAAGGGGGAAGGGCAGGCCAGGCCAGGCCCCCCGCAACCCCTACTCTAAACTTAATCTGCCCCTACATTGTTTTACAATAATCGCTATCATCCTGGACATTTAAAGTGATAAACAACGGAGCTTAAGTTTTTGGTCCTTGGTAGATATAAAATTGGAAACTTTTTAAAATTGTCACAATGCTATAAATCTAACTTTCTTGACTATGTGTCTTTTTTCTAGACTATAGGTAATTATAAGTATGCTTGTATCATAGAGAAAATAATAATAATAACTAATAAAAGCTCATTTCTTAATTGTCTAATGTTTAGTTATTATGTGATCTCTATACGCAAACTGTGTTTTGTTCATTGTTATCTCCCAAACAGCCAGTTAGCGATGCCATAAATCAGATCGGCATGACGCCCCAGCCAATATAGGAGATCAACTGCGCGTTGTTGCCAGCTTCGCTCGATAGGTCCGTGGTCTGCCTGCCTCCTGAGGAGCGAAAAATACAAAACTATATTAAACTAAATTTTGTCTATGTTACATAATTATTTGTAATGTGCTTCAGGAGCGGATCCAGAATTTTTCAAAC